ATTTCGGTTACTTTTCGCTTCGTGGCCAGCGTGTGATAAGGTCCTTTGCTGCAACTACTCTATGCTGAGAAAGGCACATGTAAATGTTTAGGCTATATCTTCACCCTGCCCAATGTTTAAAGAGCCATGTTTCTGCAATGGAAACTGGTCAGTGATGGTGTCCAATATCAAAAGGAAATGGGAGGGAACCAACAATTGGAGAGAGGATTTTTCTAAATGCAAAAGAAATTTGTTTCCCCGGAGATATATAAGAATGTGTGAATGATAAACAGGTTTGTATGCCCTCTGCAAATATTTGCAGCAACTCATTGAACCCAAGGCTAGGATCACTTTAACATTATGTGGGAGCTGAGTTTTGTTTTCTCTGTCCTATGGCTCTTCTTTCCTGGTGAGTAACATTAGCACAGCTTCCTTACCAGATATTGCCATCTCCAGTAGAACTGACCTCATTCACCAAATATCAGAAATTTAAAATTTTGGTAAAAAGGCAAGAGGAACAATGCTTGTTTTCATTTTAGTATTATATATTTATTTTAACACACACACCCCAGACTTAAATCACTAAATGCTGGAGGTTAGCCTGCATTTGTTACTTCATTTACACCTGGATATGAGCTCAGGAGCTGAGCTTCCAAGTGAATTTCAGCATAATAACTTTGTAGATTTCCAAATAAGTAAAATAAACCAAAATGGACTCATGCAGGTTAAAACTTGTCTGTGAAATGCTGAATTCAAGTCCAGTATTTCTAATGTAAAATTGTATTTAGCTTAGGCTTTGGTTTTGTGGCCCCAATGACAGATGGCTATTTAGAAAAGTTGTATATTTAATCTACCATAAACCATTTGTCTCCATGCTTTGACATATCACAAAATCACCCCTGGTGCATTTCATACCTTTGTGTTAAATGGAAATTTATGGAAATGTGAATTTGGAATTATTTGGCCTACATTTCTGCTTTGATTGTCTTCTTCCCATGCTTTAACCTTGCTTTTCCATAGCAGGTTCTTTGGGATCTGTCAGTTTGACTCAACCTACTGCGGTAACAGCATCACCTGGAGGCTCTATCACTCTGGACTGTGTGGTATCAGGGTATGATATCAACCAGCATCACATGCACTGGTCCCGGCAAGCCACTGGGAAAAGACTCATCTACATAGGAGGCTTCAGAAGTGGAGATCCTGTAATAATAGTTCAAGAATTTAAGGGACGTGTGACTCCCTTCACTAGTGGTGTTACAGCAAAGCTAAGGATAGATGCCCTGACAACTAAAGACACTTCCATCTACTATTGTGCAAGAGGAGGCACAGTGGCATTAGATGGAAGTTTCTTCATACAATATCCTTGTACAATTTCCTTCCTTCCTTCCTTCCTTCCTTTTCCTGCTTGGAAGTGACTTTGAGGAATAAAATTCCGAGAGGTTATATATCACTATATTTATTCCTGTAGTGATAGAAAGATGGAAGAGTTGGTTTTGAGGAAGAGGAAGAGGAAGAGGAAGAGGAAGAAAAAGACCATGGGGGAGAAGAGGAGGAGGAGGAGGAGGAGGAGGAGGAGCAGCAGCAAGAGGAAACAGGAGGAGAAGCATCAGCATAAGTGCCAAGATGATTTTTTTTCTTAGAAATGTTGTGGAAATTCCCTGTCAATGACCAGAAAAAAAACAAATTATAAATCTAACCAATAGTGTGAGGCTTCAGATGGGTATGAAAGGGGATTATTTATTTGTTTACTTTTAGGATAAATATGTAACTTATTCAAAAGCCTTGCTGGAATGAGTAGAGAGATCTCAATGAACTTGTAACCAGCAGGATTGAGCTCCCAATTCTATCAAAATATTCTGGCCAATGCATGCTATCAATGAATGTTCTTCCTTAGACTAAAAAATATACACAAATATCTGTATAGATGCCATCCTTTTAAGTATCTGTTGTTGCTGTGTGTTTAAGTTGTTTTCAACTTATGTTAACCCTAAGGCAAGCTTGGGGTTTTCTAGACAGGATTTGTTCAGCGAGAGTTTGACTTTCTTCTGAGACTTGCTCAAGGTCACTCAGTGAGTTTCCTTGGCTGAGAAGGGATTTGAACCCTAGTCTCCAGAGTCATAGTCCAACATTCAAACCATTACACCACACTGGCTCTGCTCAGGTGTTTATATCCTTGTAAACTGATTTACAGTCGCATAAAGGTGAATTGTGACATTGTACAAAGCTTACATTCTCAGGAGGGGAGCAGAGATATAGGGACATTTCGGGGACCATTGCACAGATGGACCCATGGGACCCATGATGAAATGATCACCAGAGAGCTATGGGACCCATGGGTGCCAGAACTTGATGGGACTCACATAACAGAACTCTCATGGCATAGTAGGACACTGCATAAGATGTCCAGATACAAATTGTCACAGTCCACTAGAAGGGTTGTATGTCTCACAAGGGATGTAGCTATCAAATTGTAAAATTACAATCTGTAACTTGTCATGTAAGATCTCAGCACATGTTTTTATTTTAGTTCTTCTTTTGAAGAGTGCATGACTGAACAAAATTCTAAGAGGAAGTGGTGAGCCACTGAGCCTTTACCCCTTTTTTGTTTCTTTAGAAGTAGGTAAGAGGATTTTTTGCACTTGTGGTTAGCTTGTTCAACCAGACACCCTGAGATGTAAGGCTCAAAAGTCCCCTGCTTGTTTGTTTGTTGAACAAAACAGGAGATGCTTTGATAAGGTAGGTTTTTCCTTTTTTAAACAAACAAACAAACAAACAAACAAACAAACAAACAAACAAACAGGCCTATGTGATGATAAGAGATTGAATATTCCTGCCCTCTCTTCAAAAAAAAAATAAAAATAAAAAATCAGAACTGGCAGATTAACCTATCCAAGCAGAATGTATTTCACCAATGTAGATATTTGGAAATGTGGTTGGATCTCCTTTGGATGAAAATTTTTCATAATGCATTATGATTTCCTTCATAAATGGGATAGAATGAATGTTACATTTTAAAATTCTGAATGAGGGAGAAAGGAAAAATGACAAATACCTTCATTTTTAGTTTTGAGTTTGATGCATTTGTTGCTGTCATGTACCTTCATGTTGACTCCAATTTTTTTGCAACACTATCATAAGATTTTCTTGGTGGCACTTATTCAGTGAAGATTTGCCATTGCCTTCCTCTAAAGCAGTGGTTTCTAAACTTTGGTCATCCAGATGTTTTGGACTTCAGCTCCCAGAATTCCTGAGTGTTGTCCAAGTTGGCTGGGGCTTTTGGCAGCTGAAGTCCAAAACATCTGGAGGATTGAAGTTTGGGAATCACTGCTCTAAAGCTAGAAGAATATGTGAAGGAATACGTTTTATGATATCAGTATGTTCTGCCATACCTGCCCAAGTTCATCCAGTGGGTTTCCAAGGTTAAGGAGAAATTGAAAGCCCAGTCTCCTGGAGTCCTAGTTTAGCACTCAAACCATTACAACATAGGATCTGTTTGATGCAAAAAGGCTGTCAATTTAGGATAATTTTTAGCCCCTTGGATAGCTCTTCTAAAGTTCAGTCTGAAACTCAGAGCAAAGTCACCATCTCACTAACTTCAGAGTCATTCAACTCCTTTGGTTGGAGTGGCCTAGAAAAAGCCACTTTTGTTTCTAAAATGCAAAATAATTTGCTTGTCCTTGATTATATAGGAAGTTGGACAATTGGTTGCGTGGTCAACCCAAGTACTTTATACTGCCCACCAAAGGAGGAATATATTTGGTATTATGCAGATTTTCAGCTATGTTTGCTCAGCCTTGTGGCTCTTCTTCTCAGGTGAGTAACAACACTCCAGATTACGGTATTAATTAAAATTCCTAAAAGTATTTGGGAGATATGGTTTGCATCTACACTGCAGCATTAATACAGTTTGACACTGCTTTAGCTGTTATGGCTCAATGCTATGCAATTCTGGGATTTATATTTTGTGAGCTATTTAGCCTTCTTTGTTCAGAGAGCTCTGGTGCTATGGCCCAGGACTCCATAGGATGAATCCATGGCATTTAAAGCAGTGTCAAACAGCCTTACTCTCATTATCTCAGTTATAAAAGAAATGAAACAATCATCACCATCTCTTTTTCTTATTTTTTTATTTTAGCATTAGTTATTAAATTCCCAGGACACATTAAAGCAGAGTTTAGAATCTGAATTTAAAAAAGAAGGCCTTCTTTTCAATGTTGCATCTTTTGGCTTTAAAACATTTTGAATACATATATATCAAGAGAGAAAGAGAGAAAATATTAGAACTTTTGTGAAATGTTGAATCCACACATTATAAGTCCTACATTCAAAATATTTTCCTTATTTATGTAGTGGTCTATTTAATTTTTTAAAACAAGTTTGCTCCATTTTTCCATAGCAAAAATATTTGCTTCTTTTTCCATGGGCAGACTAGGAATGGGCAAATTGGTTCCATTTAATAAAATAATAAAAAAAGACTTCAGAAAATTATATATATTTATATCTCCACTTCTCCCTAATATGCAAACTGAACAAAGTATCCCCCCCATTTGTGATCTACACCTGGAGTTCCTAAAGAATTGTAGATCACATCTGTCTTCATGTTCATGGAATATGTATGCATGCTGCAATATTTTCTGTGTTTTTTCAGGTAGGGTCAAAACCCAGGGTACTTAGAAGTTCCTTCAATTTGTGGGATTGGAAAGATTGGAGTCATGCCAGTGATGTGTCTGTTCTCCTTTTATGTTCTTAGGTTATGCCTCTGTAGCAGGTTCATCTGGAGTGATCAGTTTAACTCAACCCAGCAAGGTAATGGTATTGCCTGGAGAATCTTTAACTCTGGACTGTGTGGTATCTGGGTTCAATATCAACAATCACCACATTCATTGGATCCGTCAAGCCACTGGGAAAAACCTCATCTATATAGCAGGCTTCAGAGAGGGGTATAGCACACCAATTGCCAATGAATTTAAGGGACGTGTGACCCCCTCAACAAGCGGTTCTACAGCAAAGCTAAGGATAAATACTCTAACAACTGAAGATACAGCTCTCTATTATTGTGCAGCAGAAACCACACTGACACAGGGCAGGCTTTTCTTTGTACAATCACTTTTTCAGTTATTGTACTATCTTAGCCACAGTTCTTCAGTAGGCACCTACTACTTACTTACTATGTTTGTGTGTGTGTATAGAGATTATTTTCTTTCACTTCCTGATTTGAAGATATTTATAAAAAGACATCTAAAGTATCTCAGAGTAGCTTGCAAGCTGCTCTTGTTTACAGTGTTCTTGCTTTTTAAAAGAGGTTGTTGGTTCTCTTGCAAAAAAATTGATTCAAACAGAGATGACACAAAGTAAGAGGTTATTCAGACTGTGAAAATAATTTTGATAGAATGTGGGTTGAGTCTCTATTGTTCACATGCATTTTGACTGCACCTGAGTAAGTTTTTGGGGTTGCTCAAAAAACCACATAACCCAGGATAATTGATCGGGGGGGGGTGTTCCCTTTAGTTTTTCTAAAAGATTCACATTGTCAACTGTGTAAATAACCAATGGGAATAGACCCAGGATAAACTGGGATAAAACTTTGCATGCTTTGAATGTGTTTCAAATACATCGGCATCATTGACTCCATCTTTATTTGCAGTGCTGAAACATGTGAGCAACAGAACTTGCAGAGATGCAGTTCTGATAAAAAAAAAAATAGTGTGAACAACAAAACCAGAATGCATGAGTGAGATTATTCACATAGTTGCACAAAAAAATCCAAGAACATCTGAATAACCTCTAAGATTCATGTTCGTCCCTTCCACCTAGTTTGTTGCAGGTAGAGAGAAAAAGAGAGAGAAAAAACAAATATGGCACACAAGGGACCCTTTCACACTATGCAATTATAGTGCTATTAACTCTCCAGAGAATTTTCAACGAAATTCAAAGAATCTGAGAATACTGCCGTGCTATTTTGACCCAGGTTTGGTATTCATTGTCCACAATGAATAACCAAAAACCTATATTCTATACATGTTCATGTCTTTTGTTTTCTTCAATCTGGAAAAAAGAAGAAAAAGGAGAAAGGGGATCTCTTTCATTTCTCTTAGAAGGATTAGCAGCAGTTTAGCTCTCTGCCTTGGATGACAAATTGTTATTCATTGGGTCCAGTATACATCCAAATTTTATAAGTTTACATGACTGCAATCTTGAGTCTGTAGTGAAAAACAAAGATGAAAGTAAACCAGCAGAACGGGTTAATATGTTCTTTCTTTTCCAAAGAATACAAAATAGAGTTACCCCTCCATTTTCACGGACTTGAAGTCCACGGTCTTGATCATGCACAAAGGGGTGAGCTCTACTGAATTAAATGGCATGTGCACAGGGCAACATGCAGGAGCGCATGACTATTCAAGCCAATGAGGCTTGATTATTTGTGAGTTTCCATTTTATGGGGGGTGGGGGGGTTTCTGGGACGGATCCCCTGTGAAAATGGAGAGTCTACTGTACTTAGTAAAGGGAGAATAAGTGAGAAACCACCAGAGATCCTAAGATATTTGATTATGACATAACCTTTCATGAACACTAATAACTTTGTAACATATAAGGAGGAGTGCCCACAAAGGACTATGCTAAAAACCTGGGTGGATTCGCCACCCCTTTTGGTGTAAGGGCCCTCTGCTGCTATTGCTACACATAAAATAATAGGTTGATCTTAAATATATTTTCTTGAGAAAAACTGAAGGTTTCCTGAACCATTTCAACCTCTGATTAGAATGCTGTTACAAAGACCAGATTGAATTGCAAGATGGAGGCTCAACAACTTATGCAGGCACACAGTTATTGGAGGTGGGACAAAATTGCCCCCCCGAAATCTCCCCCCCCAGTGAAATTTTCCTGAAGTCCCCAAATTTCTAGCATAGCAGTCGCTTAAAACGTTAGCATATAGAAATACAATTTAGGCACCAAAGAAAAGTTTGTTAAAATGTACCGCATGAATACAGCAAAGTTTCCCAGTGCCTCTTTGTAATGCTAGAAATCTGGGAACTAAAGAAAAATTTAATGGGGGGGGGGAGAATTCTCACTTGGGGGCAATGGCCACCACTCCATAACAACAAACATTAAGCTCTTGTATGTTGTTCTAGAACAATGTAGTAATGTATAATA